GTATATATATATATATATATATATATATATATATTAAACATAGATTATCCTAAAATGTGTATTATCACATAGTTGTTTTAATGTACAATTTTTTTTATAGATTAAATATATATTATCCCAAAACAAGTATTAACACATGATTGTAATAATATTTAAACTATTTTCATAGATAAATCAAATATATTAAATATAGATTATCCCAAAATATGCTTTTCCACAAGATTATATTAATATATAAACCTTTTATATAGATTCATTAAATATAACAAATATGGATTATTCCAAAATAGATAACACCACATGATTGTATTAATATATAAATCTTTATTTCACAGATTAATTAAATATATGAAACATAAATGATGCCAAAATATGCATTAATACATGATTGCATTAATATAAAAACCTTTATTTTAGTTTAAATGTAATACATATTGCCACATTACTGTACTGAAATATAAACCTTTATAAAAACATTATTAAATGTGTTAAAGAGAGATTATCCCAAAATACGCATTTCCACGTGATTATATTAATATACAAACTTTTATTTTACATATTAATTAAATATATTAAATATAAATTATGCCAATCAGACATGATTGTATTAAATAAATAAACCTTTTTTATTTTATTTAATATTACCACATTACTGTATTAATATATAAACCTTTTTTGTAAAATAATTAAATGTGTTAAATATGGATTATCCCAAATGATGTATTACATCAGGATTGCATTAATACATAAATAATCTTTTTCTGTTGAATTTGAAGAAAAAATAACTATATTCTTATATGCAGTTAGTGTGATATAACATTTGTCACATCGTGATATAAGATTGTGGTCATCCTGCCCAACCCACTATAGGTCTCCTCAAACCGCTCAGCATCTGGTGCCAAGAAGTATTGATCGCTGTAGGTTGTCAGTGCTGCATTGACAACGCTGAAGTGCATGTGCATTTGTACATGTGTATGTCCGTATTGTACAGAGCTCCTCAGGGGAGTGGCTGTTTTTGTCTCTGCTGGCTTTTGCTGCAGGATTTTTACTTGTAATATGCTGCAAGTGTGCGGTGGAAAACTACAGCAGCTAAGAGAAGACAAAGGGAGAGAGAGAGGGAGCGAGAGCTAGAGATGTAGAGGAGAAATAACTAGTACAGCAGTCAGCTCCGGTTACCTCGGGTTAACCAGCCGGAGATGTCATGCCCATTCATTGCGTCAAGAAATGGGAAAAGTTGCTCCTCTGGCTGTAGTCTCGGTCGTGAGCGTGGGATCTTCAACATCGACCGCTTTAAAGCTGCAAGTCGCATCTGCTGTAAGAAAATACAATAATAATGTCATGAAATTTTGCAGCGTACGTGCAAACCTGAATCGTATTCCTAAATGATTTTTTTCACAGTCATTTCACCAGTGAATTCCCTCTGATTACAGATGCGCTATTGCATGAGTGTTTATTTTTTAATCTTGGATGTGCGTGTGTGCGTGCGCGGTAGATGCCCCACAAATGAAAAAAAGTGAAATGACTCTCAAATGTGTCACTATTTGTGCTAGTGTATTAGCGTCTCCATGGCAACCGCTTTGGGTATCGCAGAGTAGCACAGCATCCGCTGAGGATGGAAAATGCGAATGGATTTTCAACAAGGGGAACTAATTATGGTGATTACGAGAAAATTGACTTACATTGTGTCTCCAAAACTAGAGAAGCCATTTCCAATTATTGCGAACCTCCCGCATCTCGCCGGACTGCTGCGGGATCAGCGGGATTCAAACAGATCTGGGGCTTAGATCAAGGGAATTTCTGGTGCTTTCAGGAACGATGTTTCTCCATGCAGTCCTTGAAAGCTTAGAAAGTCTATAATGCAAAAAAATAAAAAGATAACAGTTAGCATTCTTATTGATCTCAAAACCACTTTTTCTTCTGTTTTAGTATCTAGCAGACAAGATGGCTAAATTTCATTGAATTAAAAAACACAATTACACAGTAATTTCAGGTATCATGTCGGAATCACAACCGGTGTTCACTGTTATGCAGCAAAGTTCAATACACTGGTTTAAGGTTTTCTTGAGCAAGAGTCAAACTTGCATCTCTCTCTACAGTTGTGCACTAATCAATAACTTCAGATAATTCAAAAGTGGCTCCCGATATACAAATAGAAATCAGTCTAGATGGTTACTTTAAAACCCTTATCCACACTTTAAAAAAATATTTTTTCAAAATTGTAAATAAAACAAAGATTATTGGAGTAAGTTTTACAAGAAAATACTATTTCAGTCTTTCTTCTTCAAAAGAACTCATGAGAATTCATTGGTTAAAAACTGTGGGAACCATTGTTTTAGTATCACTGAGATACTGGTATAGTTTTTTGTTAATATTATGCTTTATTTTTTTATTTTCCATTTTCATTTTAGTTCAAGTTCTACTAGTTTTGTAGTGTGTTTGTTTACATATTTTCTGTTCAATTTTATTGCATTTTAGTTACTTTAGTACATCAAGTTAAACTAAATATATATATATATATATATATATATATATATAATTATGATTATGTTATTTTAATAATTAAATAATTATCTTAATTTAAGGAAATGTTTATTTTATTTAGAAATAATGTTTTTCTTTTATTTATTTATTTATTTATTTGTTAAAGGGTTACTCCACCCAAAAATGAAAATTTAGTCATTAACTCTTTCCCCGCCAGCATTTTTTTTAAAAAGTTGCCAGCCACCGCCAGCGATTTTGATGATTTTCACTAAAATTTGATGGCCTCCAGTATATTTTGCTGTATGAATATTTGAATATGCAATACACCAAAATAAAGATCAGATCAAAAGATAAAGATCACTTTTAAACAAAAAAAATCTGTTTTAAAAAACAGAGCTTAAAGCATTCTTTTTTTTTTTTATCAACACTTGAATATAGGTCGGGTTCATAAAAAATTCATAATTTTGAGAAAAAGGTGAGAAAATCAAATTTTTATCAAAAACTACATCTGGATAATATTCAGTACGATTATCAAAGCATAAATCCAGTAAATCGCTTCCATCAACACCTCCAAAGCTTGCACAGACATATACCACTTCCTGGATCAACATTTTACTCCATAACATTATGCAGTTTTCATTTGTATGCTGTCTATCGCTGATGATCGCATTATTTTTCATATGCATCTGTTTACATAAGAGATCGCTCGTTTCTCCATCCTGTTCTCGTGTGTTTTTGTTCGGGAGGTTTTGTACTCGTTCAGAAGATGTGTAATAGCGCCCCCGAGTGTATAACAGTGAAAACACGAAAAGATGAGATAACTCGTCAATGGCGGGGAAAGAGTTAATCACTTACCCCCCATGTTGTTCCAAACCCGTAAAAGCTTCGTTCGTCTTCGGAACACAATTTAAGATATTTTGGATGAAAACCGCTGATGGCAGATGGACTATTCTGACGATGTCTTTCATACTTTTCTGGGCCTTGACAGTGTTATTTACTTGGCAGTCAATGGGACAGTCACAAGCCTCCCGGTTTTCATCCAGAATATCTTAAATTGTGTTCTGAAGACGAACAAAGCTTTTACGGGTTTGCAACGACATGGGGGTAAGTGATTAAAGACAAAATTTTCATTTTGGGGTGGAGTATCCCTTTAACACCAAGGCCATGAGTCTGATTCCCAGGTAAAACAAGAACTTATAAAATGTGTACCTTGTTTGAATGCACTATGTGTTGGTTTGGATAAAAGTGTCTGTTCCAAAATGCATAAATGTAAATGTAAACTACCCTGGTGGCCTATTGGAATCAATAGATTCAAGACAACTACTGGGATGCTGCCTTAAAGGAACACTCCACTATTTTTGAAAATAGGCTATTTTTCCAACTCCCCTAGAGTTAAACCAGTTGAGTTTTACCGTTTTCTAATCCATTCAGCCGATCTCCGGGTCTGGCGGTAGCACTTTTAGCTGTAGCTTAGCATAGATCATTGAATCTGATTAGACCGTTAGCATCTCGCTCAAAAATGACCA